AGGGAAGCCAATTACCATGTTGTAAGGACACTCAAGCAGCCCTGTGGAAAGGCCAATATACTCAGGAATTGAGGCTTTCCATCAACAGCTATGTGGATGAGCTCTCTTGGAACCAATAATCCAGCTCCAGGCAAGCCTTCAGATGTCTGTAACCCTGGATGGTATCTAGACTACAACCTCACAAAGACCCTTTGCCAAACCACCCAGCTGAGTTGCTCCCAAATTCCTAACCCACAAAAACTGTGAAATAATATATGTTGTTTTAGCTGCAAAATTTTATGCTAATTTGTTACGCAACAATACACAACTAAGATATGAATCCTTATCCAAGACTAATAGCATCATAGCTAAGACTCTTTTAGGCATAAAGCAAAAAATAAAATACTACATTTTAATTCGGGATAAATGTATGATATACATAAAGTTCACAACTTAACTGTACAACTCAGGGAATTTTTACATCTCTATACCCTCATTTAACCACCATCCCATTAAGATATAAACAATTTCAAGTACTCTAAGAAATTCCTTCATGTCCATAGCAGTCAATATTTCTTCCTGGAGATAACCAATCTTTTGAATTCTATATAGATTACTTTGTCTGTTCTTAAACTTCATATAAATGGAGTACTTTAATATGCACTTTTTTCTTTTTTTGTACTGGGGATTGAACCTCTGAGCACTTTACCACTGAGTCACATCCCCAGCCCTTTTTCTTTTTTATTTTGAGACAGGAACTCACTAAGTTGTTTAGGGCCTCTCTAAGTTGCTGAGGCTGGCCTCCAACTTGCTACCCACTTCATCATGCTTCCCGAGTTACTTGGGATTACAGGCATACACCATGACACCCAGCTCAGCAGGTACTCTTATGTCTGGCTTCTTTCACTCATAATAATACTTTTAAAATTTATTCATGTTGTTATATGTTTGGGTAGTTTATTTCTTTTGTTGCTGGGAAGTATTAGATTATATAATTATTTAAAAAAATACTTTCCCTATTTACAGGCATTTAGATTGTTTTCAATTTCAGAATATTATGAATCAAATTACTATTACTATTCTTGTACCAGTCTCTGTCTTCATATGC